AAATCTCCTCTGCACCCTCTCTAAAGCTTCCACATCCTTCATATAATGAGGCAACCAGAACTGAACACAATATTCCAACTGTGGTCTAACCACAGTTTTATAGAGCTGCAGCATAACCTCGCGGCTCTTAAACTCAATCGACCTGCCAATGAAAGCGAACACACCGCACGCCTTCTTTACAACCCTATCAAATTGGGTGACAAGTCCAACTATGGACATGGACCCCAAGATCCCTCTGTTCCTCCACACTGCCAAGAATCCTGCCATTAACCCTGTATTCTGCATTCAAATTTGACCTTCCAAAATGAATCACTTCACACTTTTCCAGGTTGAATTCCATCTGCCACTTCTTTGCCCAGCTCTGCATCCTGTCAATGTCCCGTTGCAACCACAACAGCCCTCCACGCTGTCCACAACTCCACCAACCTTCGTATCATCGGCAAACTTACCAACCCACACTTCCACTTCCTCATCCAAGTCATTTATAAAGATCACAAAGAGCAGAGGTCCCAGAACAGATCCCTGCGGAACACCACTGGTCACCGAGCCCCAGACTGAATACTTTCCATCTACTACCACCCTCTGTCTTCTATTGGACAGCCAATTCTGTATCCAGACAGCCAAATTTCCCTGAATCCCATGCCTCCATACTTTCTGAATGAGCCTACCATGGGGAACCTTATCAAGTGCCTTGCTGCCCTTCACAAAGCCATGCTGACTATTTCTAATCAAACAATGCTTTTCCAAATAATCATAAATACTATCTCTCATAATCCTCTCCAATAATTTGCCCACCAAAGTAGTAAAACTGACTGGTTTGTAATTCCCAGTATTATCCCTATTCCCTTTCTTGAACAAGGGAATAACATTTGCCACCCTCCAATCATCTGGTACTACTCCAGTGGACAGTGAGGACGCAAAGATCATTGCCAAAGGCACAGCAATCTCTTCCCTCGCTTCCCATAGGAAGCTTGGATATATCCTGTCTGGCCCAGAAGACTTATCTATCCTCATGTTTTTCAAAATTTCTAGCACATCCTCCTTCCTAACATCAACCTGTTCAAGCATATCAGCCTGTTTCACACTATCCTCAAAAACATCAAGGTCCTTCTCACTGGTGAATACTGAAGCAAAGTATTCATTAAGGACCTTCCCTACCTCCTCTGACTCTGCGCACAAGTTCCCTCAACCATCCCTGATTGGCCCTACCCTCACTCTGGCCATCCTCTTGTTCCTCACATAAGCATAGATCGCCTTGGGGTTTTCCTTAATCCTACTGACCAAGGCTTTTTCATGCCTGATTCCAGCTCCCATAATTATATTCTTCAGTTCCTTCCTGGCTACCTTGTAATCATCTAGAGCTCTGTCCGATCCTTGCTTCCTCAACCTTAAGTAAGCTTCCTTCTTCCTCTTGACTAGATGTTCCACATGTCTTGTCATCCAAGGTTCCTTCACCTTACCATCCCTTCCTTGCCTCAGTGGGACAAACCTATCCAGTACTCATAGCAAGTGATCCCTAAACAACCTCCACATTTCTGTGTGCATTTCCCTGAGAATATCTGTTGCCAATTTATGCTCTGCAGTTCCTGCCTAACAGCATTGTAATTCCCCCTTCCCCAATTAAATACTTTCCCATACCATCTGCTCCTATTCCTCTCCATGACTATAGTAAAGGTCAGGGAGTTGTGATCACTATCACTGATATGCTCTCCTACTGAGAGATCTGACACCTGGCCTGGCTCGTTGCCAAACACCAAACCCCAAACCCAATATGGCCTCCCCTCTAGTTGGCCTATCTACATATTGAGTCAGAAATCCTTCCTGGACACACCTGACAAAATCTGCTCTGTCCAAACTATTTGCACTTAGGAGGTTCCAGTCTATATTAGGGAAGTTGAAGTCACCCGTGACAACAACGCTATTACTTCTGCACCTTTCCAAAATCTGTCTCCCAATCTGTTCCTCAGTGTCTCTGTTGCTGTTGGGAGGTTTATAGAAAACTCCCAATAAAATGACTGCTCCTTTCCCATTTCTGATTTCCACACACACTGACTCAGTGGAGAAACCCTCCTCCAAGACCTCCCTTTCTGCAGCTGTGATACTATCCCTGATTAGCAATGCCACTCCCCCACCTCTTTTACCTCCCTTCCTATTTCTTTTGAACCAACTACACCCCGGAACATCCAACAACCATTCCTGCCCCTGTGATATCCAAGTCTCCATAACGGCCACAGCTCCAAGTACTGATCCATGCTTTAAGTTCATTATCCTTATTCCTGACACTTCTTGCGTTAAAATAGACACACTTCAACCCGTTGCACTGACTGCAACTTGGCCCTATCAACTGTCTGTCCTTCCCCACAGATTCTCTGCATGCTGTATCTGCCTGTACACCAGCTACCCCATCCTCTGATCTGTAGCTCCGGTTCCCACCGCCCTGCCAAACTAAACCCTCCCAGAGAGCTCTAGCAAACCTCCCACCCAGAGTATTGGCGCCCCTCCAGGTCAGGTGCAACCTGTCCTTCCTGTACAGGTCCCACCTTCGCCAGAACGTATCCAATGATCCACATATCTGAAGCCCTCCCTCCTACACCAGCTGTGTAGCCAGGTGTTCAGCTGCACTCGCTCTCTATTCCTAGCCTCAGTTCTGCGCTGTATATTCTATGTAATTCTACATAAAAACTTGCAAACTCCCTGGCCAGATCACGAAGCAGTCCCACCACAATTTGTGAAATGTTAAACTTTGTCTGGCTCCGAATATCCATATATTCAAATAATAGTGACGGTTTTGTTCATTCCCAGGGCATCACTGGCAAGGCCAAAAATTTACTGTGTTTTTCCAATTGCCTTAAAGATAGGGCTAGTAAGCTGCCTTTTCACATTCCCACACACAATGGAGATTGTAAGGCCTTTTCAGAAAGTTAACCACACATTTGGAACTCACAAAAATACTGGGCCAGATAAGGGCAGAAATTTGGTTCCCTAAAGAGCACTAGTGAGTCAGAGTTTGAAGACTGATAGTTTCATGACCACCATTATTGATATGAATGTTTTAGTCCAATTTCTTTTATTTAATTATTGAACTGCTGAGAGGTAAACTTCTAGATTCTGTACTGCACCAAATTGATCCAAGGACACCTGAAGACAGTTTTTACATAAAACAACAAAAAAATTGAATAAAATACACAAAAGCAGCTAAGTTGCTGCAATGATTGAAATGGCTACATTGGCAAATATGAGTCGAATGGAAGCTCTCAAAGGTAATCACATCAATTAGATTTTAATCGACAAATACAATCTTTAATTTGAATCTGAGCCATTTGAAACCAGTCTGATAGAAATTAAAACAAATTGCACATTCTAAAAGACGAGTATTTAAATGGAACAAAGCCAATTTTCTGGCAACTTAATATTCAGATCCTTTCCCAATTCTGCTAATGTTCCACTAGGAGTTACAAGAATTAGTTCTATTTCAAACAACTGAAACAATTTCTTGTCAGAGTGTAGATACAAAACGCTGAAATTTTAGCCTTGATGAGCACAGGTATGGAGATAGGAAGTTTGCTCAGCCAGCTGGTGTGACAGTTCTCCAGCTCCGTTTCTGCCCTAGGGCCAGTGGCAGGAAGGGACAGGGGCTGGCAGAGTAGCCAATTTAACCAATTAAAGGCCGATTGTTGGAGGTTTACTAGGGTTTTCCAGTCAGCTTTCCAGCCCTTCCACAGCTGGCGAGGGTCTTCCCAGTGGTCCAAAAGGAGGCAAACATTCTTTGCAGGCTGAGAGAATCTTTGCCTGCTTTCAACAGCAGGCCATCTTATGAATTTTCTTATTCAAAATTTTAAGAATTTAGAGAAAGGTGCCTCGATTTATGGGGCACCCTCTCCCTTACTCAGCTGTAAGGGCATCTTGCTGTAGCTTCCAAGCTTAAGAGCCTCCTATTGAGCAGTGAGCCCACTCTGGTTACTAACTAGCCAATTTGAGGAAAAAAAATCACAGGATAGTGACTGTTCTCCACACAGAGCTCTGAGATCCCCAATTTCTTGCTAACATCGAGCTTCAGGAGTCAGTCATAAGTATTCTGCTAAAACTCAGCTTGGGCAGTAGTAGAAAATGGTTACTGAGAGTTACTGCAGTTCCTTTTGGATCATCACCTCAATGTGGAGGAGAAGCTTGCATTCATTGATGATCCCTTTGTGTAATGCCATCAGGCGCACTTTGTTCTTAGTGGAGCCACCCATGGTGGCAACATCAGGGGGAGGTGCCACAGAAAATGCAGACCAAAAAAAATCTTCAACTGCACAAGTGGCAAATGAATTCTTTGAAGACAGAAGCAGCAGCAGCAGCAACAGGCATTCCTAGTTATCATGGCTAGACATTTCATCAAAATCTGACCACAATTTCCAGCAATGAACAATGTGGACAATGATGGTAATTTAAGGTCCCCATGTAAAACCATGTCAGAGACAGGTTTTTACCATGGTTCATCTGCCAGGTCATATGGTGATAGTGAATTAGTGAAACTGTGAACTCCTAATCAAGAAACTGCACACAGGCGACAGATGCATGAAGGTTGTTGGAGGGTGAGGTGTGTTTGGGCAGCAGCTTCCATGATTGAGTAGTCCTCTCTACAAGGTACCCTCTACTCACACCAAGTGGGGAAGGGACTAGACCAGGCGCCCTAACACATCACTACCCCACTTCTTTTAATCCAAACACCTTAATGATGAGGCAGTAGTAGAGAAAAAGAAGCAAATCCTGCCCTCTGGGTCCCAGTAGCTTGTGGGACATCCTGACCCATATAGTCAAAGGTTGAAAAACAGCCTGTTGAATCACATGAAAACCCATGGCAGAAGCTTATAACCAATGTCACCCCCTAACTGAGGGTCAACTGATGGGTTGTTCAAACTCAAACTGAAATTGAGCCACCATTGAGTTATACCATTGCTTAGTGGTAGCCAAGAATTCAAACGACTTCTATTGTTCCAGTTGGAAGTTCGAATTACCTGCAGACTGTCACCATGGACAAACACCTGAACCACAGGCTCACTTCGCACGTAGATGTTCTCAATTTTCTCTGGTGCAATGTACTCGCCCTGTGCCAGTTTGAAGATGTGTTTCTTTCGGTCGATTATCTTCAGAGTGCCATTCTGGTGTAGCAAAACAAAGGCAGCTTTTACTCAGAAGCTACTGCAAAATTCTTACATAAATTTTGCCATTAGAAAGGGTTCCACAGCTGGGAGATTACTTGCCACAAGGTCTCTCTTTTCTTTCCTATTGGTCATTAAAGGGACAGATTGCACAATGAAAGGTGGGTGTAATAAAAGTAAGTTATCAGGAGCTTGGAGTGGCAGCAGTAGGATGTGACAATTGGTCCTTCAAGACCAGCAGTAATGACAGGAGCTCAGTGAGTGATGATTTGATTCAGTGACCATCTGTCTTGACTGCAAAAATACCATTATCACCGACCATACTAGCTTGTCAACTTAACTTATCAGCCAATGCACCTTTTTGTCAAACTTAGTCATTAAGAACTCTGAGGGAACCAACCATTTCTAACTTTTCTCCCCTCTGCTGCTTTCAGACCTTGCATCATGATCCTAACATCACAGGAGATCAGTTCCAAAGCTGCAGTTTAACACCCTTGAGCCAAACACAACTGTTCACCATTGTAAAGGGTGGGACAGGGTACATGGAAGGGAGAACACAGACCAGTGTTTTGCACAAGCATCATCACATCTTGAGACTTTTGCTCCATGGTTCCAGCTGGGCATTAGTTAGCAGATGGGCCAGCATTTTGAATTTTATTTTTTCTTCCAAGGTTGAACGTTTATTCGTATCAACACATTAAAATTTGACATAGGTGGGAAATGGAAGGAGGTGGGAGGAAGTGACTCTGTGTTTCATGGTGCTTTAATGCACCAAAATGGTTGCATTTTTGGCAACCATTACGCTGCGGAAGTGAATCATGATCTAACAACATTGAATTCTGCTGAGATGAAGAGAAGTTCTGATAAAAAAAATTTGGAAAATGCTTACTTTATGCAAGTTTCCACTTTGTTTTTACTCTTTAATGTCTGGAGCCCCAAATAGGTGTTACATACAATATTACACTATCAAGTTGAACGGTCCTCATCTAGTTCGCAAGTTGCAAAGGTTCACATTTTGGAAGACATCAGTGGACATTTACCAAATGACGTAGCATCCTGTGCCCTGTCACCGTTGAGACCTGGGTCTGCAAACAGCCCATATCAATAGAATAAAAGGTTGTTTGTATTAAGAATTCTACATTAAATGATTTTGCAACATTGTAACAGAATTCCTAATTGCCACATAGCACAAATCAACTCCTTAGATTAGCACCAACTAATAATTTCACTTAATGGAAGCAAAGTGATAGTTTATATGCTGTACAGCAGGAGATACGTTTGAGGTGGGGTTTTAGACATTTGATGGGGAATAGTGGATGAAATTTCAGCCTGAATTCTAATCCCAACTACTCTTAGCTCAAAGAGCTCAAAATGGGAATGTCTTACGTCTCCTCAGTGATTTCACAATCTGCCAAAAATTAAAGTGATTAAAATACTTGTATTTTTCAATACTCAACAGTTTTAGTTGCCTCTGAATTCCTGCTACTACAGCAATGAAATTACATATTATATACCATTCCATATTTGTTCCTATAATTTACTTTAAAACCTTCAGAGGCAAGGAAGAAGTACCTACAGCATTTCTATTCCATCATAGTTAAACTGCTATTTCTATTCACATTAGTATTATCACATGTAATGGGAAGCTTTCCAAATTCCGACAGGGTCACCTATCAGATCAGGCACACAAATAACCAACCCAAAGCCCATTCCAGAGTCCATGAAAGCTTACAAACACACACAATCGTTTAAGAATGGTGGATAGTACTGCAAAAAAAAACACACTTCCAGACAAAAAAATAAGAGGACACTGGTAACAAAGTAAAGGAGACAAGTAGGAGGGGAAACAAATAATATAATTGGTATGAACAAAATTTCAAGGTCACATTTGAATCCTTTGGAATATCTCAGGGTCCTATAACAATGGAGTTTTAATGCAAAATAATTGAACTTATACTTTACAAGGAGATAATTGAGAAAGTCTTCCTTACTGGCAGCCACTTTCCTATATCCCCTGTGTGCAACCAGCCATGGTTATCCAGAGCTTCTGCTGTTTTCTCGGGGTCTTTTAAGTAACCACGGAAAACATTTGTCCCTTTTACACAAATCTGAAAGATGAAGCACAAAGAGAGTTTCTGACAAGTGTTAACCTTTATTCCTCCACAAAATAATCTGATGCAAACAACAGGAAGGATATCCAGGTTTGATCTCAAATAGATCAGCATGTGGCACAGCCATATTTTGCCTGGATAAGTACAGCTCCAAAATTAATCAAAGAATTCAACACCATCCCGTTTGGTTGGGACCCCAGCTATCAACTTAACCATGAAACTCTCCAGCACAGAGTATAATGGCCTGCATTTTTTGTCCCATCTGTTGCAGCAATTACCTGGGATCCTTCAACAGCACCTTCCAAACTTCAAAGAAATATGGGGAGCAGCTGGAAATCTGGTGCTGAAGCCAAAATTCAGCCATGAGAATGCTGAATGAGAAAGCAGGCTAGACAGGCTGTATGGTCTACTGCTGCTCCTATAGAGCTTGTCCTTATAAATTCTACCATCTGGAAGAACAAAGGCAAAGATGCATGAGAACACCATCACCCATAAGTTCCCCCGCGCATTCCACAACATCCTCACTCACCGTTTCTCCCTCACTGTCGCTGGATCAAAATACAAGAACATCGTCCCTAACAACACTGTGGTTTACCCACACTACACAGGCTGCAGCAGTTCTGACAGGCAGAGCACTGCCATTATCTCAAGGGTAATCGGAGATGGGTAACAAATACAGGTTCTGTCAGCCATGCTCACATCCAATGAAAAAATGAAAGTAAAGGCTGAGAATCTAAACAGATTGCAGAATCTACAATGTGCAGAGCTGGATGAACACAGCAGGCCAAGCAGCATCATAGGAGCAGAAAGGCTGACGTTTTGGGCCTAGACCCTTCATCAGAAATGGGGGAGGGGAAGGGGGTTCTGAAATAAATATGGAGAGAGGGGGAGGCGTATAGAAGATGGATAGAGGAGAGGATAGGTGGAGAGGAAACAGACAGGTCGAAGAGGCGGGGATGGAGCCAGTAAAGGTGAGTGTAGGTGGGGAGTTAGGGAGGGGATAGGTCAGTCACAAGCTTCAAAATCTCCCCTCCCCCTACCGCATCCCAAAACCAGCCCAGCTCGTCCCCTAACCTGTTGTTCCTCCCACCTATCCACTCCTCCCACCTCAAGCCGCACCCCCATCTCCTACTTACCAACCTCATCCTGCCCCCTTGACCTGTCCGTCCTCCCTGGACTGACCTATCCCCTCCCTAACTCCCCACCTACACTCACCTTTACTGGCTCCATCCCCGCCTCTTCGACCTGTCTGTTTCCTCTCCACCTATCCTCTCCTCTATCCATCTTCTATCCGCCTCCCCCTCTCTCCCTATTTATTTCAGAACCCCCTTCCCCTCCCCCATTCTGATGAAGGGTCTAGGTCCGAAACGTCAGGCTTTCTGCTCCTATGATGCTGCTTCGCCTGCTGTGCTCATCCAGCTCTGCACCTTGTTGTCTCGGATTCTCCAGCATCTGCAGTTCCTACTATCGCAGAATCTACAATGTTATTCACCCTACTCTCCACAGTTATTAGAGTCTTTGCTTGGATGACACTTGCTCACACCAACATCTCTATGAAAGGCATACAATGCAGAAACTGTTCAGGTTCACAAAGAAAAGGTCAACCATTAAACATATATTTACACCACAGCAGATGAGAGTTAAATAACGAATATACAACATATTTCCTACGACAATTTGAAAAGTAAACCTTTTGATTCACTCTGAGGTTTCAGGTAACCATCAATAGGTTTCCATATTGCAGGTACATTGTCAGAGAGCTTTATGACCACATAAGTCCCTGAGCCTTTCAAATTTCAAATTTAACACTGGAGTAGGTCAGGGAGCGTTCTCGCTCTAACCTTTTGCTCGCTGCCCGGCATATGTGAGAACATTTTTCTATTCTTCAGTTCAGATTTAAATTCCATTCACAGAATCATTATGCATGTCCTACTTCTTTAAGAGAACAATCCAACTAGTCCCTCTGCCCAACTCTCTCCCATTTCTCTCCAATGTTTTTCCCATTTCAAGTGTTTATCCAATTTGCTTTTTGAAAGTTACTGACACTGACATCACGGGATAACAAGGTGTAGAGCTGGATGAACACAGCAGGCCAAGCAATATCAGAGGAGCGGGAAAGCTTACGTTTCGGGCCTAGACCCTTCTTCATCACTATCCTTTTTTGCAGGACTTTCTAAATCATAACAACTCATCATGAGACAGTTTTCTTCATGTTGTCATTATGCTTTTTTAAAAATGCATTGAATGGTGTTTCTGCTGTTTACCAATCTTTCTGCTGCTGGAAATACTCTCTCCTTGTTAACACTAACAATACTCCTCATGACATAGAACATCTCCCCTTGACTTGCTCTTTTCTCAGACCCTCCCATTGTTCTTTTCTTACCCTCCCATTTCACATTACGTAAATATATTATATATCTATCATTTTCCAGTTGTAACGAAAGGGCTTAACTCAAGTGTTAAATCTGATTCTCTCTCTAGAGATGCGGCCAGACCTCCTATATATTTCCAGCATTTTTTTCTGTTTCATTCAGATTAAATGTTGTGCTTTTTAACATAATAAATTACTTTTAATTTTTTTTTTAAAAAAGGTCTTATTCTACACCCTATCCTAATACAGTTGAATTCAGTCTTGCAGTAATAGGACTGAAGGGTAATCAGGTTGCTAAACTGCCAAATTCTCTCCTTGTAGAACATTCCCATGGTCCAGTATAACATATTGTGCAATACCCTGTAAATGGATTTCAGAGCTTAATGCTGTCTTTAAATCACCTCTACGTTACATTAGTGTACCAGTCCAAGATTAAATCTTCATAATTGGTGTTATTTTAGTGCAAGAATACAAAAAAAAGTTTCTGCTTACCTCACCCTCCCCTTCTCTTGCAAAATAGTTCATTTCTTCTACATCAACAAGTTTAATCAGATTACAAGGCATTGGAGCTCCAACATGTCCTGTGGATGAAAAGGGAAAAGCAGAAGTGAAGGAGTTAACCCACATGCATTAAAATGCTGCCCATAGTGGGTATTCAGTACTAATGGAAAAAAGCGTTTACAAATGGTAAAAATGTCCATTAACTAGAGTAAAATTATTTTGTTCAACATCTATAAAGAATTATTTTTCACGGAATAGTAACCTAACCAATATGTTACCAAGAAAATTAAGTTTTAGTATTGTGCACTGATTTAGTGTTGAAGGACAAAATTACAGAATGCAATTTTGTTACCAACTCAACCTGTTATCTCTGGACATGCAATTACTAAGAACACACCAATTACAAAACTACAGCAAGTAAATTAAGTTTGATGAAAGGTAAAAATTACAAGATATCTTAAATCAGTGGCATCAATAAAGGAGCAGAATTCACAGTTCAGTCTGTGGTGAGGTGGGTAATATTGCACACCCTAAGCATTAGCGATATACATTTTGACTGCATACATGTTCAGTTGCAGTCTGATGCATTTAAACAATGCAAGAAGTGTTTGAGCATTTGCACTGTATTTTTAACAAATATTCTCCCAACTCAGGAAATTCAACATACTGTCAGCAAATTTCACAATGCTGTGGTCTGTTTAAATTAAGAAAAAAAAAAACGACCTGGCCAAGAGTGTCTACTAAGAAATAAGTGATTACTATAAAGGAATGATGGAAAAGAGTGGTAAGTATACAGCATTTAGTTTATGTTTTCAATAGCTGTTATCAAGGGCTGAAAGGAGATAGTAAGGACTGCAGATGTTGGAAGTTAGAGTTGCTAAAATATGGAGCTGGAGAAGCACAGCAGGTCAGACAGCATTGGAGGAGCAGTAAAGTCGAAATTTCGGGTCTGGACCCTTCATCAGGACTGGGGAGGGGGAAGGGAGCTCAGAACTAAATAGAGAGAGGGGGGTGGGGCTGGAAGGTAGGTGGGATGGTGATAGGTGGATGCAGGTAGGGGGTTGGTCAGTGCGACGGGTGGGGCAGATAGGTGAGAAGTAAGATGGACAGGTTGGATCAGGTCAAGGAGGCGGGGATGAGAGGGACGGCTGGACGTGGGATGGTCAGGGGTGGGGAGATTTTGAAGCTGGTGAACTCTACGTTGACGCCATTGGGCTGTAAGCTCCTGAGGTGGAATATAAGGTGTTGTTCCTCCAGTTTACATGTGGCATCATTTTGACAGTGGAGGCGGCCCAGGATGGACATGTCACTAAGGGAGTGGGAGGGGGAGTTGAAGTGGCTGGCAACCAGGAAGTGGTGTTGATTGGAGCGTACAGAGCGCAGATGCTCCGTGAATTGGTCACTGAGTCTGCGCTTTGTCTCTCCGATGTACAGGAGACCACATCGGGAGCACCAGATGCAATAGACCAGGTTGGAAGATGTACAAGTGACCTGTTGGATTTGGAATGATTGTTTGGGGCCTTGGACCGAGGTGAGAAGGAGGTGTAGGGGCAGCTGTAGCACCTCCTGTGTTTGCTGGGAAAGGTGCCGGGTGTGGTGGGAAGGTTGATGGGGAGTGTGGAGCGGACGAGGGAGTCGAGGAGTGAACGGGTCCCCATGGAAAGCAGATAGGGTTGGAGAAGGAAATATCTATTTGGTAGTGGGATCCGGTTGCAGATGATGAAATTGGTGGAGGATGATGCATTGGATTTGGAGAGCAGATAGGGACCGCTCACTCCGTGACTACCTCGTCCGCTCCACCATGTTCCTCCGATGCTGTCTGACCTGCTGTGCTTCTCCAGCTTCACTTTTTAATCGACCAAGGGCTGAATCTTACATTTTTTGGCTAAGTCCAAGTTGTGCCAAATTGTTTGGAGGGCTTCTCATTCCAAGGTTAAGCAGAATTTCTCTCCAAATCTTGCTAAACTCACCTCATTAATTATACACCCTGCTCCAATGGCATCTCTCATGTCCAATTTCACCCCACCTTAACATCCACCATGCAACTCGCTACTCAGCTAATATCTGCCAAAAGACCGACATCCCTTGTGCCTGCATCTGGACAAGTGGTGGAAATCTGGTGATTCCTTTGCCAACATCACCACAGCTCAGCAGGCACAAAGCCATGGTGCCCACAGCACATTGCCAAAACAGCTGACATTCCCTCACACATTCAACCCCTTTCTCTCATCCTGATCACTGTTTAACCAATAGGCCACACAGTTTACCTGACCCCAGCGACATCCCATTTGAACACGTCCAAAGTCAGTGCTACCCTGTCGCCCCATGTCTACTGTAGGCCTGCATTATGTCAATGTATGGCAGAGGAACATCGCATATGGGCAACAACTGAATAAACACAATCAGAAATGTGAGCTCATTTACAGAATGCAGAAGGGAATAAAATTAAAAGCCAACAAAGGCTGAACGTTGCCCCCATAAAGTCAAGCTGATTTAGGCTTCATGGCCCAAAAATATAACATTTAATGATTGTGTTACTGTACCCAGTTCTCTTGGAACCAGATGTCACAGTGAGGTTCTATCAGCCTGTTCCACCTGGCACACCGAAGCTCTGTCATGGACGTTATCTTCCTCCATTTTAATGCCGTCATCTTCCTCCTCAGAAGACTGCTTCTGTTCCCTCATTCCTCAGTATCCAGCACATCGCCTCATTGCATGCTCCGAATGTGCACAGCACAGCATGCCAGGATAATGCACACACGGTCCAGACAGTACACCCATACGAGTTCAAGTAATGGCATCACATTGCTAAAGATCCTATATTCTGCTCCACCACAATTCTGGTTGTGGCACAAATGGCATTATGTCTGCTCTCTGTATCAGTCAGGGATCGCTCAATTATGTCAATAGCCATGGTCACAGTGGGGAGCCGTTAGCCCACAGTAGCCAGCCTTGTAAGGCGCCTGCATCCTCAAATGTGCCAGGAGTGCCCCAGAGTATATGAATTGTGACAGCGGGCACATAACTCCAGGAAGTGATAACGGTGATTGCAGATCACCCAGAGATTAATGGATTGGAACCCATTCCTGTTGATGAAATCGCAGTGTTGTGATATGGCCTTCTCAGTGCCGTGTGAGTACTATCGAAGACAACCTGTAACTGGGTGAAGCCAGCTATGTTCCCGACTCCTACTGCCTGGGCTGCAGCACTGCCCTCTTTATGGGGGAATGAAGTGAACCACTATGACCCTCTACAGATGGTATCGGTCACTGCCCTGATGCCTTTGTGGGTGCATGACTGAGAGATCCCACATAGTCACCTCTCGCTCCCTGGAAGGAGCCAGTCACATTGACGTTCTGTGGTTCAGTGGCCTTCACAGCCACTGGGAGCCCTCAGGTCCTTGCTCCAGCATCCTGCACAGTTCTGCCATCGTGTCCCAGGGCACATAGAGTTTGCGTCGGCATTGCTTCTAGCTCTTACTCAGGAATTGGAGTCAGGGCAGGAAATCTCTGGGTTTCCTGCTCACTCATGTGTCTCAAGAGGCCCTGCAGCTGCAACCTCTCTCTGTACTGGGTACTCCTCATCTCCTGCTGAGCTCCTAGGCTGTTAGGTAGGCTTCCACAGCAACCAACATCCCTCCAGCAGCAGGGCCCATCATTCACGAAGGCAAAGACAATAAATTGGGAACAGAAGGTGTGAAAGAGTTTCTTAAATCTCAGAACAGTCATCAGTGGCAAACGAAGGCTAAGCACACTTCACCTCACAGCGAGACACGCTGCACGTGGATAACGTGGGTCATGTCTGCACTGGACATCCCATGTTCCACCTCAGCATCTGCAGTACCTGTTGAGTGTGCTGCACCAGCAGAGACACCATGAAATGTCAGTGAGAATGGGCTGCCTGCAGTAAACCGCACCCTCCCAACACACCCACCCACACCACATGGTAGACACTGTCACCACCAGGCCCTACCCCTAAATAACGATAAGACCATGAAGATAATGCTGTCAAACCAAAAAAACATACCTTTATCCCCCCCACTTCTTTTAATCTAGAATCTAGAATAGAATCTAGAACTTAGGGTTATAGTTTAACAAAAGGGGGTTGCTTATTTAAGACAGAGGTGAGGAAAGATTTTTTCCTCTCAGACAGTTGTGAGGCTTTGGAATTCCCTTCCTCAAAAGGCAATGGATGCAGAATCTTTAAATATTTTTAAGGGCAGAGATAGAAAGATTCTTGATTACCAAGGGGATGAGAGATGGTTGGGCAGGCTCGAAGGGCCAAGTGGCCTATTCTTGTTCCTTATTCATATGGATTGGAAAATTAATACCACATCTATGCCCCTAAACCCATATCTTGTTACAAGATTTACAAGATGAATACACTATGAATATTTTTAAATACTCTCAGAATTCAAAACTCAAACAGTAAAGAAAATGCTGAGAGTAACAAAACCACAGAATTGTCATCAGGCAGAAGGAGGCCATTCAGCCCAGCAAATTTGCACTGAATCTTTAATAAGCATCTTTACCTCATGCCAATCTCCTGCTTTCTCTCCACATGTTTGCACACGATTTCTATCCGAATAATCATCCTTTGCCTAGAATACTTAGAAAATAGGAGCAGGAGCAGGCCATTTGGTCCCCTTGAATGCCTCAATACTTGCTAAATGAAAATAGTTTTTCTCACTTGTGCATCAGTTTAAATCTATGCCCTCTTGCTCTTGTACCTATTACGAGCATAAACAGCTTCTCCCCTTCATCAAATCTTCTCTCAGCTTTCTTCTTTCCAAGGAGAATAGTCCCAACTTCTCAATCTGTCCTCATGACTGAAGTTTCTCATTTCTGGACAGTTGCCGAAGGATGGAATCAAACGCGGGTCCCTGGCGCTGTGGGGCAGCAGTGCTAACCACTGAGTCACCATGCTGTCCCTACTCTTTTTTTCCCTTCCTTCCACCTCCAGCTCGATAATCAGTCTGCCACAATTTACAACACTAGAAATCATTCACTTGCAAAGACATCTGTGTACTTTTCAATTGGACACCAAAGGACCAGTTTCAAATGCAGGCAGAGAACAGTCAAGTGGCATGGAGCATTCCCACTCCTGCCTTTCTTGGTGCCATGGAGAAGGTGAAGACAATACAGGGGACTGGGTCTCTATTGCATTCCACCATGTGAGTTGACGGGAGTCCCAACACAGCTAGCCAGTTCCAGAAAGGCAGGCAATTGTCTAGTTACCATGCACAAGCAGACAGTGCATCCAACAAAAATAACACCCATCAGATAGTTTCAGCTTTGCCGCCAGTGAGGACTGCTACTGAGGACACTCAGCAGAAATGACTACGGGTTGAGCAATAGGCTCCTCGCCCTGGATTAGTGATTTTCATCCTGTCAGTTCCTTTCCCACTTGCTTCCTGACCTACCTTTATTGAGGTCCAAGCAAAATGGAGGCAGGCAGACTGGACGCAGTAAATAGTGGTGCTTGTCAGACCAAGTCAAATTTGCTCTTCCAGTTCCTTAAAACCAACCAGTGTATTGTATCGAGAGGTTTATTCAATGAGAGGAAAGTCTTACCTGCTGACCAATCTCCAGGAATGGTCATTGAACAGCCTGCTGTGCACTCAGTTTGTCCGTATCCCTCATAAAACTGTAAAGGATTACCACAAAGGCATGTTAATTTTGTAACATGGATTATGCTGAAGAGAAGCTTCCCCCTAAATCATGGCTCAACATTTGGCAATTGAGGGTAAAATACTGAAAAAAGGAATTCTGATGTAGTGACAAATGCTACACTTCACATATCTGGATAGTCATAACAACAAAACCAAAGTGGCTTTTTATCGACACTTTTGAGTGCATCATTCTAAATGAGAAAACACTTACAGTATTAAGAAGATGTAAATAATATCACAATAGAATTTTGCTGCAGTGTGTCTCAGTTCAGGACTCTGTAATTTATGGATCTTCCACTAATTGCTCTACTGGATCAGACAAATAAAAATGTGACGGTGCCCACCCCTCCAGGATTGCTCAGTGCAGCACTGATAATGAGGACAAGAATGTGTGGATGTCAAGTTAGGAAAGATCAGGATTCAGGTACAATGCTTCCCTAGGAGAAAGGAATTCCAGAACAAGGGTTCAAGATTTTAAAACTGGAGCCAAGCCATTTGGAAAGGAGATCAGAAAGCATTGTCAGTTCAATGGGAAGCAGCACAGAGTGCATGTTGATGACAGTCGATGAACTGTAAAGTTGATGTTGCTAGCTTATGCAAAAGCTGACCTTGAGCTATGAATGAGGGAACAATTTTTGTGCAGTTGTGGGAAATCAGCAGAATTACAGTGGAAAACAGAGAACCTCTGCAGAACTTAAAAACCCTGATGTCTGCATTGGTACAGATGGAATTGAAACCAGATGATAGCAGTAAGTTGTGGAGAAGAATGGTAGCAGTGTATTAAGAAGAACATGTCAAGAATGAGAAACCATGGTGGTTGTAACAAATACCTTGTTAGTGGCTTTGACCAGGGCGTTATATATTAGAGAAGTGGAATTCATTTGGCAAGAAAACCGGAGGTGTGTGAGAGAGAAGACACCATCCACTGAACGGATGACTGTTCCTGTCATGGTCACTTCCTCGCAGTACTGATTAACACCACTAATGAACCTGATCTCTGACTGCGCATTTAAAATGAAACTGGATAGCAGGTCCAGGAAACTAGACAAGCTAATTTCGCACTAAAGTTTCATGTACAAATGAAAAATTAGTAAAGTTTAAATAGGAACATAAATCAGACGTGCAGCTTACCTGGCAACCTACAGCAGCCCTGATGAAGGTAAGCACGGTCTCAGACACGGGAGCCGCACCAGTTACCATTAATCTTACCCGGCCTCCAAGACTGTCCTGCAGACAGAAAGTGCAGCGATAACGAGAATATTGAAGGAAGCTAAATATCAAGCACTGAACCTCAATATTTCTTCAAGATTCATTGAAGTAGTATTTTTGCTGTTGAATTATATATAAAACATCAGGAAACCCAACTCCTTTTACTATGCTTGTGAGGGGTGGCATTTTCTTAGGGCCTGGGATGCGGGTGAGGGGGTAGGTGTAGGGGCAGGTGTAGCACTTGCTGCGGTTGCAGGAAAAAGTGCCGGGTGTGGTGGGGCTGGTGGGGAGTGTGGAGTGGACAAGGGAGTCACGGAGAGTGTGGTCCCTCCGGAAAGCAGATAAGGGTGGGGAGGGAAAAATGTCTTTGGTAGTGGGGTCAGATTGCAGATGGCGGAAGTGTCGGAGGATGATGCGTTGGATAGACCTTCCACATCAAACAGATGTTCACCTGCACATCTGCTAATGTGGTATACTGTATCCACTGTTCTTGATGTGGCCTCCTCTGCATCGGGGAAACCAAGCGGAGGCTTGGGGACCGCTTTGTGGAACACCTACGCTCGGTTCGCAACAAACAACTACACCTCCCAGTCGCGAACCATTTCAACTACCCCTCCCACTCCTTGGATGACATGTCCATCCTGGGCCTCCTGCATTGCCACAATGATGCCACCCGAAGGCTGCAGGAACAGCATCTCATATTCTGCTTGGGAACCCTGCAGCCCAAGGGTATATCAATGTGGATTTCACAAGCTTCAAAATCTCCCCTCCCCCGACCGCATCCCAAAACCAGCCCAGCTCGTCCCTGCTTCCCTAACCATTCCTCCCACCTCAAGCCCCACCCACATCTCCTACCCTCTAGCCTCATCCCGCCTCCTTGATCTGTCCGTCCTCCCTGGACTGACCTATCTCCTCCCTAACTCCCCACCTACATTCACCTTTACTGGCTTCAACCTCACCTCTTTGACCTGTCTGTCTCCTCTCCACCTATCTTCTCCTTTATCCATCTTCTATCCGCCTTCCCCTCTCTCCCTATTTATTTCAGAATCCCCTTTCTCTCCCCCATTTCTGAAGAAGGGTCTCAATCCGAAACGTCAACTTTCCTGCTCCTCTGATGCTGCTTGGCCTGCTGTGTTCATACAGCTCTACACCTTGTTATCTCCTTTTACTATGCAACCAGTATGCTCCCCCTTCCAGAACACAACCCAAAGAGAAAAGGAGATGGAGATCTACTGAACTGATCTTCATCTTTTTTGAGATTCACACACATGTCCATGGATATTCCTGGTCAAGAGTGGAATATCTAACATCAATGTTACATAACCCATGGAAGCCCTGTTTAAGAAATTCTAGATTGGCCCAATTTTCCTCATTCTCCCACTTGGCAGAAACCTGCCTGCCAGTGAAGGAGGGCATGTCACACTGCAGAGGCTGTAAAGGGGCAGCAATTCCCACTCAGAGAGCCATATAAAGGTCACATAGCTACTGTTTGGACAGAACTAGAAGAGCCTGGAGCTTGCAAATACTCAGACTATTGAAAGCTAAAAGCAAAGCTGAATTTTCTCACCTGATTTTAAGTACTTTTCCATTGTCAGGGGCTTTTCAATAGTAGGGACAAAGCTGTTGAGAATTAACTTAAAACTGGAAATTCATCTTGATTGTACTTTTGGTTCAGCCAGACCACATTGCCAAATTTATACCAGAGCAAAAATCGATGGAAGACACTCAGCCCCTTTGACCTTGGCAGTATGTGCTAAAAAGCTCAAGATCTAGCCCTAGACCACTTGACATGGAAGTTTCACTCATCTTTGGTAATAAGATGATACTGTTGCAGGGTACATATAAGAGAGTTGATAGTGTTTTTTTCACTTTAAAAAGTGACAATAGAATACTACTACCACATCAGGGTTCTATGTTAAATAGTCATTATTGGATAAAGCCTTTCTTTAGCTATCATCTGCATGTATGACACAAACCTGTATTTTACGGAAGACCAATGTATCCCATATGCTGTTGCGTCGCATTATGCCTTTTCGAAGCTCTGCTGTTTTTCTCCAAGTTGCAAATTGCAATATCCACCTTTTTATAAAGCTGCTGGCCTGGCTGTGGATCTACAAATCAAACTCATGTTAAATAATCAAAGAAACACTAAAATTACAGTCAGCCCGTTCCCAATTTAGACAACTGAATGCAATCAAAAGCAAATGAAAAATTTAGAAAGACTTTCGCTTTACTTGTGTTTGAGAAATGTAAATTTAGTGCCACAGTCACTTTATCATTTTCATAGAATCATTAAATGTAACAGCACTGAAACAGACAATTCAGCCCATCAGATATGAGGTGTTGCTATTCTCCACACATCTTCTCATTTAATCCCAAGATTCTGCTCAGACCACATCCTTTCATATTCCCTTTACTTCATAATTGCCTGTTAAAATAATTTATGGAATCAGATACTGATGGCAAAAAATTCAATCTTCTAATCTGCGTACAATAAAATTTGTTTTCGATCTTAATTCAGTATTGTGTTGTTGAGCAGTGGAAACATTATTTTGCTTTAGCTCCTCATCATAATCTTGATGAATAGATTTTCCCTTATTCTCCAACTCTAGTAAGAGATCCCACTTCTCAAATCTCTCTCCACAACTAAATCCAATCCCTAGATGATCTTTCAATCATTCATCTGGCTGTTCTACAAGTTTAAACAATAAAGGGAGGGTACAAAATAATTATTAAATATTAAGGCATTACACAACTACTATCATTTACAATGGTAATTACAGGTTCTTTTAGGAGCTGAGCTCAATATCCTACACCTCTTCTATAGAAAGCCCCATCGGAAACAATATAGCACTTTTAAAAAAAAGACATAACACAAATATCATTGGGGGTTGCTAGGGTTAAAAGTGACAGACAGTGAACATGCGGATAAAGAAGAAAATGAGAGAATGCAACAAAGATTCCCTGATGATTTAACAGACATGTTTAACACTATGATCGAATCAGCTGGGTAAGGTAGAAACACAGATCTAGAACAAGGAGGCACAATTGAAAGAGTAAATATTGAAGTGAATGAATAACTTTTATTGGGACATAAAGGGTTGATAGAATGTAAAATGCATAGCCAGAGTTAGTGATTGCAGAAGAGACAATGTCAACAATTAATAGATTAGATAGATTGATGAAGGAAAAGGGTTGGGGATGGAGGCAATGGTCCTTGGAATGGGTACATGGGATTAGGATAAAAATAAGCGCCAAGCAGACCAGACTGAAGAGTTTGTTTCTGTGTTGTAATTTCAATGTAATTCCATGAAAAATCCAATTGAGATATAATTTAGACCTATTGTCAATGGATCAGACAGTCATAAGTGGGCTGGAGGGTGTGGCAATTTACAAAGCTACTTTGCAGTACAGAAGAGTCTGTTATATTGCAGAATTACGGTTTTTGTCAGAAGCTGATGGTTGATGTCGAGCCAAGTATGGGCCTGGCTTTTAGATGGCATCACTTTTCAATTTTACCTACAAACGGCAAATGATTTAAAGTTTGGTTAAATATCCAGTTATAAATCGCTAGCCCCCTCTACAACTGGCAATTGGAAAAAAACCATATGTACAGTATTATGATTCATTTTTTCCAAGAATTTTGAAACATTCGGTCTTCAAATCACAATAGATAAGCTACAGAAAGAGTTCAGACGCACCTTATCATACATCCTATTCAGCAGACGGGGAACAACAGGAAAAATAGTTGGCCGCAAAACTTTGATGTCATCCATTAGCAGTCTGATGTCTCCCTGAAAGAAGCCAATTCGTGCACCATGGCATAGAACCACAATCTGCAAAGAAAATTAGAATATCAGCACAAAAGCTATAATGTTCATATAAACTTCTATAAACAAAGAAGAATAAAATGCTCTTGTTAGTCTGAGTCCACTATCTTTCAGGGTTCTGAAAAATGGATGATACCTGAAACACGAATTTGTCGTTTCTCTTTACAGATGCCAAATAAAGTTGCTACATATTTCCTGAACTGTTTCCTGTAAATTCTGATTGGTTTTTGCTGTTCTATTCCAGAAAGCCCATACGTGAAGGACGGAAATGCTACCAAACTTTACACACTTTTATATGTTTTTATTTGCAGAGATACAAATGACTAAAACACACACCTCATTACCTTGCCATGCCAGTTTCACCCTAGTCCTGTTTATTGGAGAACGAGTAAATCCCCTGTTAATGCCCTTAAACACCATTAATATACAATTAACATTAGATATCAGGGGCACTTCAGCTTTTCACCAAACAAAACAACAAACTTTCAATTTTCTTTATTCATTCATGGAACTCACCATGAAGTAGCTACAAAAGCAGGTCACTGGCTTGAAATATCACAGCAAGTAACTCATCTCCTAACTCCCCAAAGACTGTTCACCATCTACAAGGCACAATTAAGGAAGGAATACTCCTCACTTACCTGGATGAGTGTGGCTCCAACAACATTCAAGAAGCTTGACCCCATATAGAACAAAGCAACTTGCTTGATTGGCACCACATCCACAGCTTCCTCCACCAATGCTCAGTAGAAGCAACATGCAACATCTACAAGATGCACCACAGAAATTCACAAAAGACCCTCAGGCAGTATTCTCTGAATCCAAGACCACTTCCACCAAGGAGGATAGGGACAGCAGCTATGTGAGAACACCATCTGCAAGTTCTCTCAAAGCCACTCACTATCCAGAAGCAGAAATATATGGTTCCTTCAGTGTTGTTGGGGTATAATCCTGGAACCTCCTTCTAAGGGCATTTGTGGGTCTACCTTATGTAAATAGATTACAGTGGTCCAAGAGGGCAGCTTATCACCACTTTCTAAAGGGCACTAGAGATAGGCAATAACATGCTGGCATAGCCACCAATACCCATGTCCCACAACTGAATAAAACAGAATGGGCACCATTGGCTCGGCCAGCATTTATTGCCCATCCCTATTTGACTTGAGAAGTAGATGGCGAATTGCCTGCTTAAACCACCGCAGTCCACCGCTGAGGGTTGACCCACAATGCTGTTAGGGAGGGAATTCCAGGACTTTGACCCAACAATACAAAAGGAACAGCGATATATTTCCAAGTTAGGATAGTGAGTGGCTCGGGACGGAACTTGCAAGTAGCAGTATTCCCATGTATCTACTGCTTCAAGATGGTAATGGTCATGTGTTTGGAAGGTGCTATTTAAGGATTTTTGGTGAATTCCTGCAGTGCATCTTGTAAGTAGTATATACTGCTGCTCCTGAGTGTCTGTGGTGGAGGGTGTGGATGTTTGAGGATGTGGTACCAATCAACTGGGCTGCTTTGATCTGGATGGTATCAAGCTTAAGTGTTGTTGGAGCTGCACGCATCCTGGCAAGCAGGGAGTATTCCATCACAATTTTGACTTGTGCCTTGTGGGTAGGCTTTGGGGAATCAAGTTACTTGCTGCAATATTTCTAGCCTCTGACCTGTTCTTGTAGCCAATGTATATATACAGTGAGTCCAGTTCAGTGTTGGGTCAATGACAACCCCCCAGGATGTCCATAGGTTCAATGAAGGTAAATCCATTGAATGTCAAGGGACAATGGTTCAATTCTCCCTTCCTAGAAATGGTCATAGCCTGGCACCTGTGTGGGCACTTACCAGAAATCAGCTCAGGGTCAATTTTAGAAAATTCCTTTGAGGATTTCTCTCCATGGCCTTACCAGCTTTTCTCAAACTATTTCCCCAAACTTGTCTTACATATTCTGCCTCATCCCCCTATGGCTGTCCATGGTGCATGCCCTGAGATATTGGTCACTGATGGAGGGTCAGAGGGAGTAAGTGGCGAGCTGGAGTCACCAAGAACCGCTCTTTCATATCGGTAATTGCCAACATCTAGTTTCTATTTGGCGGGTGGGAGAATGGGAAGCTGCATTTCCATGGGATGAGATAATGTAATCATAAGTATGCATGTGATGAAGCCCCTTCCTGCTCACCAGAGAGAATCTCATCTCGGCATTCAATAATGGAAAATGGGATTTTTTGTTTCTCTCGAAAACAGGGAGCTCCTCACTGCTGGTCTCGCATGATTCTCCCAATTTTCTCAGCAATACCCATGTTGTTCAGGGGTTGGAAATATTCCTCCCCATTTGACATTTATTGCTTAGGATATACAGTACAGGAATAACCCATACAGTCTAATCAGTTCATGCTGAAACATTCAAAACTCCACTTAAGTCTTATTTCATCCTTTCTCATCTAAATCTACCATTGTACGCAAGTATTCCCTTC